ATTAGTAGGCTTTTAAATGAACATAATTTTATTTATTTATCTTGCATAATTGTTGCAGTATACGATTTTTTGTGCGCACCATTTTTTTTGAAACACACTGTACATGTTCTTTACATATTAGCCCGAATTGGGCGATTCCGCCCAGATTGGGCGAATCTGCCCACTTTGTACTTGGGAGATTCCGCCCGGTTTGGGTTAATCGTCATTAATCTCTACTAAATAAATAAAGTTAAATAAATATGGACGTGCTACAGATTAATTAAATAGACGGGACGTAACACGAATTCTGATGATAATAATTATACACGTTATCAATAAATAATTAGAATTAATAAAATAAAAATAATAAAAATAAGAATAATGAAAATAAAAATAGATAATAAAAATAAAAATAAAAATAAAAATAAAAATAGAATAAAATTTAATTTGACCCGAAATTAAAGGATTCGGCCAAATTATCTTCGTCATCGTTTAATTCTGGTAACATTATTTTTATTTTCAAATTTAGAGCAGAAATCACAAGTTTTTTTACTTTCTTTTTCCAATTCTAAAACTGTGTATTCCAGTTCTTTCATTGCAATTTACTTGTTATTTAGACTTAACCTCTACTTGAGCAATCATTTCTTGGTTGTGAGATTTTTCCTTTTTGATTAGCTTTTGTAATTTTGAACCTTGGTTTTTGCTTTTGTTTTTAATTGCTTAAATATGCTCTGTTTAGTTGAAGATGGCTTGCTCTCTTCTTCTTCTATAGGTAAGGCAGGTAAAGACTTATTATCCAAGTAGATCAGATTCTTTAAATTTTCATTTTGTGTTTCACTATCAGTTAATTGCTTGCTTAGTTTTTCTATTTTTTTGCTCTTTTGACTCAATTCTTCCTCTAATTTTTCAACTTGGGCTTCTAGATAAGAAATCTTCTCACTAGCACTTTCAAGTTTCTTGTTTTTTTCTTTTATATTTTCTGCTTGATTTTTACTTCATTTTTCACCAACTATTAAGATGTTTCAATTTCTTCTTGTTCTGTTTGCACCTCATCTTCCAACTCTTCTATTTTTGCTTCTAACTCATTAATTCACTCAATTTTGCTTTTGATAATATCCTTAATAATAATATCTTTAGCAGGTTTATCTCCAAAGTTTTCTCCGACCAATGATAGCATTCTTTTCACTTTGATGCTCCCAGTGCTTTACATTTCAGATTCATAGTAATTGTTAACAATTTCTTCAATGACTTTTTCTTGGTTTTCATTATGTTCTATAATATATTTCCTATACAAACTATCTTGAAAACAAACATTCATAACTGTTGTCTTAATGGTCTGCCAATCAATTCCCTTAAATCTTGTTCAATGTTTTTGCTACAGTGAGGAAATCTCTCCCTCATGTCTACCAATATTTGGTAAATTCTTTCTGTTGCTTCTTGCTTAAATTCAACTTCCTCATCTTCACTTACTTCTCCTAGATTTTTAATTCAGTAATTTCTTGTTCATTATTGGATAATTGCCTTTTCAATGTTTCAATTTTGTTGATTAGTTCTTTATTTGCTTGTTGTTGTTCTTTTAGGATGTTTGTCATGATTTTCTTGTTTGCTCTTTTTTTATTTATTCTTTTAATATACTTATCTTCTTATGGTATGTAAAGTTTATAATTATTTAGTACTTTTTTTACTTTAAATGTGGAAAAAACTAACAATATTTAACAAAAGATTAAACTTATTAAACATAACGACAGTAAAGGACAAATTAACAAGTGATGAAATCATAGAGATGATTTATTCTAAATATTTTATTCATTGCAGTATAGATTGGTCTTGGGCAAGTAATATCTTTGTATTCATCTTTCACAAATGGGCAAATATTATGATAAAGATATTCTTGTCTTTTATATTCCAAAGGAGGTGGTGTTAACACTAAAATAGAATTTCTTCAAAAATATCTGCTTTCTTGGTTTTCAATAAATTGAGTTCAGTAAAAGGTCCATCAGCAATCTCCTGAGCTTTAACTACACCAAGATTGGATGCTTCAAAAAGAAAATATTGATATTTCTGTATAATTGGTAATTTCTTAAAATAAATTCCCAAAATTGCTTTAATATCTAAGTATTGAAAACCTTTCCACCTTCATAACATCGAGCTTTATTTAATCCTGCTGGGCTAGACTGCAACCACATGATCCAGACAATCTACTCTTATTCTTCTGTAGAGTTTTTTAATCCTGCCAAAACTACCATCACATTTGAATTTGGTATGTCCTGGAATCATGAAATTCGATTCAATACTTTAATAATAACCACAAATTACCAAATATAAATAAAATCAAATGGTAATGTTGTTTTTATTTTGTCTGCCAGCATTATCACAAGTAATTTTTAAATGTTTTTCAGCTTTATTCAATTTCTTAATTCCATCCAAATCATACTAAGAGTTCCATTGGGTCCTTTTCCTATAATTAAGAATATAATTAATTTGTTCTCTTACTGCATGGACTAAGGTAGTAGATTTTACTTACTTGTTGATCTAAATGTGGCACATGAACATTTTGGGCTCAATCATAACTATAATGAGCAGTAGCATCAATACTACAATATTGTGTTTTACCTTTTGGATAATTTTGATTGATCAATTTCTTTATTCTTATGCTAATTTAGTATTTTTATTATAATAATTTCTTTCTAATTTAGCCTTGGACAGATGTTCTTTGAATCTTTTAAGTAATTCTTTGGCTTCTTTTTCTTGGTGAGCATTATAATGTAAACCGTCTCTAAAATGTTGACAAGTGTCACACAAATCAGTCCCGGGACTCATAATTTGAATCTCTGGTGTTAATTGATGTCATAATTTTCTAAAATCCACCTTATGAATGGATATATTTATGTCTAAGAAAGCTAAAGGTAATAATAATAATTAAAAGACTTACTACATTAATAAACAATGTATTTATTACAAATCGATAAATAATTCTATTGTTCTTTTTTGTTATATGAGTCAAATCTGAAGTACAAGAATATATAACAATAATTCAGAATCATCTAATTCCATTTCCATTTCTTTTTTTTTTCTCTATTAGGTCCAAGGTTAAATTACCAATAACCTTTCACCTTTTTTTATCCCAATAACTTGGGTCAAGTTGGAGTAATGAATTTAGCACAGAATCAATCACATATTTTGGAAGAGTTTCTTGGAAAGAGGCAAGGCGTCCAAGAATTTTTTTTTCAGCTGGAGATGCCATGTGTATTGGTTTGCCTTTTACATTGTATTCTTTAATAAAATATACTATTTTGTGGCCAAACAATTAGTGGACCAAAAAATAATGTGCATCAGTTAATTAAATAGGCTATTTTGTTACAAAATGGTGCATTGATCAAAAATATATAGTGGATCAACAAATAATGTAAATCGGTTAATAAAATAGACTATTTTGTTACAAAATGGTGCATTGATCAAGTAGTCTAATAAATTACTATAAAAATGTATAAATAGACCCATTACCCTCAATTGTGGACCAAAAAAAAACATGCATTTGTTTTGCTAATTACGTTGCATTTGAATTTGAGGGTTGACACATGTGGTAGTGCTGAAATGACTTGACTTTACACACTACATTCAAATGCAAGGCTGAAACATGTAGTGCCATAACATTCTATAATGATTAATTACATAAAGTGAGTATATTGTTAGATTGTCTGATGGTGGCATCTATGGAGCTGTTCAACAAAAAGGTTTTACGCACATATTTGTTTATAAAAATATTTTTTAACAATGTTGTAAAAATAACATTTTCATTTAAAAAATAATCTTTATTTTCAGAAGGAATTATATAATCCAAAACTTTATTTGACTCAATGCATCTAAAACTATTCAATTGAGTCAGCTAATAATAATAATAATAAATTAATAATTAAATTACATAATTAATTAAAAAAAAAATCCCTCCCAGGAGGTCTTGAGTCGAGGGCTTGCTTGTGTGGTCAATCCCACCAGATTGCCCAAGTGGGATTTTAATTTAGTTGTTTTTTATCCCTTAATTGTATAACTAGAATATTTTTATTTTTAGATAATAATATTTTAGGCAAGTCTATTTTTATAAATAAAGGTCACCAAGAACTTTCTACTGATTTCAATCTCTATGTATTTATTCCTACGAAATCAACGGCTAAGGTTTCTATGCAACCCTGGATCCAGAACTAAATCAAGTTCACCTTCTTGTAAAACCAAAGGAATGATTATTTTTCATTTGCATTTGCATCATGTAATGGTGATGTATTTTTTACGTTCTTCTGGGCTAATTTTTTTTTAAATTTTCAAAGTTGAAAAGATCACATGCATGAAAATGATCACTTATCAAGAAAAGCCCACAAAGTGAATTTGAATGTCTCAATTAAGAATGGTTGACGAAATTAAAATTCATATTTATCGTTGTTGTGCGTGAAAATGAAATCTGTGAATTTGCAATTCACATGCGTGAAATTTAAATTTGCCAAAATTTTTAATTATTTTCAATTTCACATACAACATCTTTTGACGAAATTGTTGGAATTGATTTAGCCAATCAAATCAGATATATACTTGCAATACTTGCTGATCACCAAATAAATTTTAGTGATGTGATGGATGATTGATTCCAATACAGTCAACCCCCTCTAAGTGCACCCTCCTTGGGAACATATCATTATTTCTCATGAACGTGCATTTAGAGAGGGTGTGCATTCAGAGGGGTAATTTTATAAGCTCACTATAAGTTTGGGAATGAGACGTGGCGTGCATTTAGAGAGGGTTTACATAGTGAGTGCATCTAGAGAGTGTGCACTAGTGTTCCATGTCGCAACCCAAAAAAGGCAACAAAATAGTCATAAAGGCGGTTGCAACCAGCAGTTGCAATCATTTTTATATGACGCAAAGGTGGTAGCAACCATCATCAAAAGTTGCAGCCGGTACCCTTAGTGTGCACTTAGAGTGGGTTGACTGTACATATATTGATTGTTTTTATATGGTGCAAACATTTCAGCCAATATATTAACATCATGCATCAACTTTGGACAAGGATAGTGATGGGAAAATTGCTGGTAA